ATGATTTAAAATCTGGCTGTTCAGACCAGGTCATAACTCCAGTTGTCTGCGCATGCACCTCTGCCACTAGCTTGCCACTATTACACATTACTAACTTTGTGTCTCCTTTCTCCCGTAGTGTGTCCTCTCTCTCTCTCCCTGTACCTTTCTGCAGGTTGCCCTGGCTCTGGAGCGCTATGTCTCTGACGAGCAGTCACCAGCCACATCGACCTGATCAGTGTTTGATTGTTGTGTCTTGTTGCTTTTCTTCTTTTGTCTCTCCTCTATCCACTCACCCCAACCGGTCGAGGCAGAAGGCCGCCCACCAAGAGCCGGGGTCTGTCGGAGGTTTCTTCCTTTAAAGGGAGTTTTTCCTCCCCACTGTCGCCCAGTGCTTGCTCAAGGGGGATTTGTTGGGTTTTCCCTATGTAATAATATTGATAACAGTAAGGTCTAGACCTTACTTTGTAAAGTGTCCTGAGATGACTTTTGTTGTGATTTGGCGCTATACAAATAAAATTTGATTTGATTTGATTTGATACCCCAAACCTGAGTCTAATTAGAATACAGTATAAAATCAAATTACAATTTAGATTTTTACAAAATGTAACCTAGGTTTCAAATGGCCAGTGTTTGGTTTTATTGTGTTTATATGGTCATGGTCACAATTCATTTCTGAAATATTACAAACAAATGAAAAGCAACAGCCAACATTCACAACAAATACTATGCAGTGACATCCTGCCCGGGCTCATACAAGCATGAATACACACAGAAAATATGTAGGTACAAAGTTGTACCTTCTTCTGAGTGCACACACACACACAGACATATGCATGGTGGCTAGTAGAGGAGCCTGCAGGGCTTCTATGGCAGAATGTCACCGAGCTGCTCTGATGAAGTGGCATGCCATTTGTTCAGCCAGGAAGTTCCTAAGGAGTAGCAGCAGTGACAGAGCTGAGGGTCAAGGGAGGCATCGTCTACAGGTACATCTTTGGCTCATACCTTAATTAATCTACTGTCTGTGATGCCAGGCATCACCATTCATCCCCTCACATGCACAAAGGTGCATGTCAGTCATGTCAACCCACTCTGACACACCCCGTCCATCCCATAATGCACTTTGTGTTGGTGTGATGCATTCCTGAAGAGGATAGGAAGTGACACACACCGAACTCGGTGTGTCCCCCAGCCAGCTCCGGTGGCTCAGGGCCCGTCAATTCCAGCTCTGTCAGTGGCACTGGCTCAATGGCAGTGCCTGTGACACATGTCAGAAAGTTTTAAATGTCTGCTCTTTTCAGTAGGATGGCTGGGCGTGCGCTGCAGCCAGGGGAAGGATGACATTTTGTGTCGTGCGGGGGAGGGAACTTGTTGTGGCTCCCCTCTTCCTGCCTCCTCTGGCTGTCAGCCCCAGTTTCCTCAGAGCATATCAAAACAGAGACAAATAAACCTTGTCATTTTGAAATGCCTGCACTAGTGACCAGGCTCCTGAACAGCATGTCAGCTGGAGTATGGTCACACAGTGCTGCAGGAGTGGTGTATAAGCACATGCAAGCAAGCATGCATACTCTCACATGCACACAATCTTGTAAACTAGTGCAAATGTTTAAGCCAAAAGAAATGAGACAAACCGACAGTGAACAAACTTTGGATGAGGCTATCGCTGACCTTTCCTTCATTTGTCTGAGGAAGATTGGCACATGGGACTGAATCTCAACATGGCTCAAATCTCAAAAACAACACGTCTCATCACCATTATTTATTCTGCTACTTTACCTCTTAAGAAGTCGGTAATGCAATCAAGCCTTGTGACTTAACATGAAATTTATCAGTCATGGACATCTTTCACAACACATAGACAGCTGTAACGATGAGAAACAGGGCTGCTAAAATATTGATTAGTGCTATATGCTTTATATAGGTGAAATTATGGGCATGATGGAAATGTGATCATTAGGCAACAGTGCATAGCAGCGACAGAAGCAGCATGTGGAGTCCTGTATCAATTTGACAAGAGACATTATTTAAACCCATTTAATTGCTTGAGGACAACCATTCTTACAATTTTACATCAGGTCAGGTGGAAGGTTGCCTGGAAAACTATAAAATAAAACAGAATAAAAACAAACATTTTACATTCAATTGTTGATAAGGCATTAGAAATCATGAGACACATTATGAGTCCTGTATAACACATTTCAAATTTATAAAAAATGCATTTGAACACAGCTGGGTCAACTGTACTGGGTCAATATTACTTTGGATGAAAATATTTTTTTGAAGGTTATGTCTTATAGTTTGTTTGTTAATAGTGTGAATCACAATGCCAGGCAAACAATGAAGATAATATGCAACTATGAAGCGGTTGACTGGGTGAAGACATACTGTTGAAAAGGCACAGTAACTTTAAAAAACAGCACCATAACAAATAATGATATATTTGGAATAATGATATCTTTGGTTACAGCTGTTCATTATTAGAATGTTTCTGACTTTAAAATTTGGACTTGATAATCTCTTGCATAAAATAACACATGCTAATAAATAAATCATTGCTCAGATATCAGATATATGCCTGCCTTTCAGGAACATGACCTTTCTCTTTTAGTAGACACAAAGATAAAACAAATTCACTAAAGTCGATTCAAACAAGAGAAGGAGAAGCATTCTGCCCTTGGCCACAAACTAAACAAATTTGAAGTGAAAATATTACAGGCTGCATAAACCTGGTTCTGTCAGAGTCTTTGCAGCATCTTAATGTTTCAAACACCAGTTATGTGGGTGAGATTGTGTGTGAGTGTAAGAGAGAGAGAGAGAGAGAGATGAGTCCATGTCGGGCCCCAGGTGTGTGACCGTCACCCCTTTCACCCTTGATTAGTAGCGGCAGTGGACGGGTGATCCATCATGGCTGTCAAAGGAAAGGATACAACTGGCTGGGTCTGTGTGTGTAAGAGAATGAGAGCGAGACTGTCTGTGTGTAGTAGTATGGTTGCAGATGCTTAGAGGCAATCATGTCAGTGGGAGTGTCATTTCTGAATCTGACCTGGATGCAGGGAGGCAGGAGCAGACTGAGCTCAGCAGGGAAGACCATAACTATGAGGCTAAAATGTTTTCAAAACGAAGCAAAAGAAAAACACTCCTTACGTAAGCACAACTTCTCCACAACTTCTGATATCTTTTTTCCAGTGGGAGATCAGGTGACTAAAATGTTACTAGTAGTTTTAATAAATAAGAGATTGGTTCGATCCTCCCTCCTTCTGCTAACATCCATTGTCATGAATTTCCCACTTTATGACCGACCAGCTGTCCATCAGAGTTGGTCGTTTCGGATGAATCTGTTGCCTTCTGAGTGCTTGCCATAGTAGACATAGTGACACTTGGCGAATACCCCTAAAAACACAATAAGAGATTGTGAGTGAGGTGTGCAAAAACAATCTGAATGTATTCACTCCCTTTTATAGCATTTAGCATTAGCAACTTCAGTATACCAAAACTGTTAAACAATGCTCACACCTCACACACACATACAGTACGTAGTATGTACATGAAGCATTTTGGCAGATTTTTAGGTACACCCAACTCAAATGCAGTCCAGTACAACAGTCCTGTAATAAACCCTTCCTTCATGAAGGTGATATAGCTATATACTGAATTTGTATCAATAATGTTATAGTGAAGTAATCTACACTACATCTTACAAATTGATCATACAGGTGAATCAATCTGTCTGCAAAACTTAACATTATCACTTTCATGAAGGGAAGATTTATTGTATGATTGCTGTTTTACACCGCATTAGACTTTCCTACCAAACTACCAGTGGAATGCGGTATTTTTTAAGAACATATAGAGTAGGAAGTTGCTGTTGTTATTTTGCCATTTTTGCTCCTTCTTTTGATTACTATATCATAATTAAAATATTTTTTATTTATAGTAACTTTTTTAATGTCTTTTTATTTTTTTAAATACACTTTTAGCTTCTTATCTCTTCTGCACAAGTTAATGTACTGTATATTGAATTGATGTACACAGTGAATATAATGTGCAAATCAATTCTAAGTATACAAAGCAGTAGTCTCTAATAATGATTGCATCTCAAGTAAGACTGTAGGAGAAGACCGCAAACTAATGTAAACACAGATTGACTCAAAACAAGGTTTAATGTTTTATGAAGTAATAAATAAATTCCATGTGTTTGTCAGGACACAGATGGAATGCTTTAGTGAGAAACACTGAATTTAAACAAAACTGTTTTATTTACTATTGTGCAAAAACTACAGAAGGCGGCTTTAAATGGTAGAACTGAACAGGGACCGAGTTTACCCCTTCGAGGGGATGAGAGATGACTTATTCCAGAGAAAGCCCAGTGAATTCCATGTGCCTCAGGAAAAAGTCCTGATAATAACCTCACACCCGCCCACCCACGTACATACACTTTCACACAGGAAACCATCACATTTATGTAATAGGCTAATACAACACTAGATAATATAGATCCATTTTGGAGTTGAGAGCTTTCTACTGTATACCACTTAATATCCAATTAAGAAAATATTAATGATTCATTTGATAAGTATTTTTCTTCTACCAACGAGGTCTCTGTATTCTACAGTATATATTACAGTATGAGCAGTGTTCGGCAAAGGTAAGCTCTGGAAATACATTTGCAGCAATAATTAACCAGGATTGTGAAAATGAATCCCCACTCTATGCAATCAGAAGATGAATCCAAGATGGCTAGCAGTGCTATTTTTTGTTGTAATGAAGGGGGTCGCCATCCAGGGAGACCTCTGCCCAGAGCTCTGTGGCTGCTCTGCTCCGACTCTGATGTCACAGCACTCTCACTGCTACTTGATGAATGTGACTAGGTGTCACCCCTCGCCAAATGAGGCAAGGACAAGTGGCATTAGTGCTGTCAATGATCCTCTGACAGGAGAACAGACACAGCTTTTGCCAGGCTTTTAAAATAGATATCAAATGAATTATAGGAGAGAGAGGGCCAGAGAGCAGGCAGGATAGGAGAGACTTATGGAAGAGGCGGTGTTGCAGAGGGATGAGGGGTGCTCCAAGCGCTACGTCCAATCACATAATCCAAAGAGACATTGTCAAGGACAGGGAGAGAATGGCAACTAAGTGACAGAAAGCAGAGACGAGGACAGAGATACTGGTGCCATATTAGTGCCAAGCATATTCTGATGCCACCCTCAATTCTAACCAAACCTGACACATCGCTCTCTTTACTCCACTCTCTCTGACTCTTCAAAGTAGGCTCTACCAAGTCACTCACACACACATGCACGTGCACGCATACAGTATACAGATGTACACAGAAACACACCAGTCCCTCGCAGCAGTAGTGGGTGTTCTGTCAGGCGGAGGAGAAGTACAGCAGCAGCAGCAGCCCACAGGCCCGAGGACAAGCTCAGTCAATCTAAATCTGGACTTTGTAGTGGAGCAGTGCTCATTTCCCCTCATAGCCCAGCTACTTGAGGTGATCCAAACACTGAAGTGTGAGGAGCTGTCACCTCCGATAAAATCCAGGACCAGCTCCATGCCTGCCTGCTCCCCTGGTGTGCGAAGGATACATATACTTGTATATTTGTGTGTGCTGCTCTGACAGTGAGGAAGCTGGTGTGGAGAGAAGGGGATGTGAATTCCAGCTGCTGTGACTTGCCTGTGGATATAGGTGCAACGGCTGGAGACTGGGCCTGACACCACAGGACTTGGGGTGTCTCACGTCTGTCTGATCACATGGGCGCCGGGGCCCTTTCATTTATTCACAGCTTACTCTGTGAGAAACTCACTCTCTCTCCAGGAGTGGGGGCCCTTAAACAAATTACCTACTGAGGTACCAGAACCAAGGCTCCAATAAGACATTACCCAGAGGGAATATATTTGTAGGTTGCAACCAAAGCCTTTCACAGATAACCTTCACAGATGAAGGAACTAAAGCCAAAGGCCCCTCAAGCCTTCACACTCTGCTGAGCTCATCACTAGCCTGTGGGGACTGAAAAGGATAGGAGTGAGCAGATTCTTTGAGTCTCCAGCACCAATCAGAAAGCTCTGGACAATGTGTGACCTGCAACTCTCCAACGGTGTTACTGTACATCTGTGATCAAAGGAGAAGAGAAAGAGTATATTAAAGGAAAGAGTAGAAAAAAGGATGAGGTCTGCTTCCTAGTGGGTGAAAGAGTACATATGTCTCAATTTGCTGTGCAACCTGGCAGAAGTTCTAGCTACATTTCAGCACAATATTAAGCAGTGTTTTATGTATAAACACATTCCAGTTCTCTATGTTCCCATCACAGCAAGAGCTTGCTCTTATTATGAGGGAAGCCAGAAGAAGGATGATGTGGTCAGAGGCAGAGAAGGGAACAACTAAGCCGAACTTACTCTTACATAATGCCTTCTGGGGGCACGTTCACGCCTGTGGGGTTCTGCTTGATGAACTGATACTTAATAACAAGGGGTGCCAAACCCAGCAGTCTACAATATCCTCTGTGTACCCTAAGCCATGGATGAGCACACTTGAATCCACACTCGTACTATCACCCATATACACATGATGACAAACCCATACACATTTTTATTTCAAGCACACAAACACAGCACACAGTGAGAACAGTGGGAGTAGCCATTAAAATGACTGATTAACAATGTGACGAGGAGGCTAATGTTTTCATCATGCCCTGATCGAGGAACAGTTAGGACGTTGTTCTGCATATGTCACGCAGCACCTTGTTGTTTATAAGGGGAGTAGCAAACCCTCTGGTCTTTATTCAAAGGCTGTACAATTGGTATCTTGTGTCTTCCGCTTGGTGAATGCTACACTGTAGCTTCATCATCAGAGAGTCTGGTCTTTTCAGAGCTGATTACCCAAAGCATGTATCCTCTCTAAGGGGCTTGATGGGCCATTCTGCCATAGTGTGAGTAAGTGAGCGGTAGAAAGCATTCTATGTAGAAAGCTCCGATATCAAATCGACAGATATGGTAAAAAAAAAATTGCCTGGTGAATAAATCATTTATTTATATAAAGTCTGATCAAATAAAGTAAAAAGAAACTCTATAAATGGCTATGTCCACTAAACCAGTTCCTACAAACAAACACCTGACTCCTTACTCAGAATCTATGAAAGGTATAAGCAGTTATACTTTACTGTCTTGTATAAAATGACCATAATATAAAAATGCTAAAGATGCTATTAAACAACACTGTGTCAGTCACTCAGTGGTTCCTGAGGCTTCCGGTTCATACTCTGTTCTGGACACACTTCTCACCAAAGACATTTTAATTTCTGCAGAAACTCTAACATCTGAACCACCAGATTGATATCGGCTAAAAACTCTGCTGGATACTATGCCTAGATTTTTAAGGACAATCAGTCTGGTAAAAAGGCGGTCTGATTTCAGCCTAATGAATAGACAGCAGAAGTCTTGGCCCCTTCCTAAGCTTGGTGCCTCTGTTTCAGTAGCCTCTGCTCCATGGTATATTTTTTACAAAGAGGGAGGGGTTTCTTTGATATGTTTTTTTTTCTTGTAAGTTGAAAAGTCATAGAATGCAAGTTCATACCAGTAACAGTAGTGTGAATGAGGAAGGTTAGGCCTGTTGGTTACATGGCATCGCCTGCCCAAAAAGAAGTTGATGTACATTTTCCTGAATGTGTCAAATGTAAAATCTAAAAGTCATTAATAATTATAATACTAATAATAGAGTGTCAACACACTGAAATGGGACGGCACCCTACTGTATTACTGGTCATGCATATGGGTACTAGTAATGACACTGAAATAGTATAAGCTTGATTACAGGCCATATTAACTCACATACTCAACTGCAAAAGCACGAACACACTGAAGAGAAAGAGAGAAGGAATCAGAGAGAGGAGGGAGATGGAGTGGTTTTAATGATTGTTCCCTGCATACAATCAGCCTGGCTCTTTTCAAGGGCCATCAATGTGTCACAGAAAGACACATCCGACAGATGTAGCTTTTAACATCAAGGTTATCTATTCCTGGCATGAATCCACAACCCTCCACTTCAAGTTTCTCGTTCTGTCATTTGTCCCCTCCCTTCTCATCTCAACTCAACTACTTCCACTCATTGCTTCTCCTTCTCTTCAATCTTTATTCTTTTAATTACTCTATTTCATTCCTCTCTTTCACTCCCTGAATCCTCTTTGTTTACTGTATTTTTTGTTTTTTTTGCTGTGCTTCTCCCCCTCTTTTTTCCTCTTCCACCCTCTAGTTTAGCCACTTAGCCAACAATTCCATCAGTGCTGCCATCCATCAGGGCAAAAAAGCAATGAGAAGAACCCAATTAACAAGGCAATTACACTTTCTGCATTATCTCCAATGGCTGAAATAACACTGCCAGGCAGGTGGGAGATGAA